TTCACACCAGTATATAGTACCTCCTTTTCAACCACTGGTTTAGAACCAGGCATTTTTCCTTTTTCTTTTCCTACAAGAACTATGACAAAGCAATTACTGATGTTAACATCAGGCATTTTGACTGCATGTTGCTGTTGTTTTATAACCTGTACCTACCCGACATGTTTCAGCAATGTGTTCTTTTACCTTCATCCTGTTAAACAAGAACTATTGTAGTAAGACTCCAACTTAGCTTGGGAACTAAAACAAGAATTTGGAAGAATATGGAGGCCTCAAAGCCAAGGGCTTTGCCCTGCCAAGCCCTGCTTCACACAGGAAGGAATTAAGATTCTTTCTGTTGCCTGTAAATTTGTCTGTTGTGATGTTTACTACTTGTAATAATCGACTTGAAGACCTCCCCTGAAACAGGGTTCATACTTGTTATTAGAACTTTGAATAGACATACTTGTACTTGCTAGAATTTTAATAGGACCAACACCCCATACATTTTTCAGTGTAGTACCTGATGGCAGGAATTAACCTGCCACAGAGCCACAAATAATTATCCTAAATCCTACTAACACTCATAATTGAAGAATGACTAAATATACAGCCCTTTTGGGCTTGGCTTGGAGGAAAATCTTACTCCTAACACTAGAATACCATGCCAGACGGAAATGCAGCATCTGAATTCCTTCCCTGTGTCCTATCAATGTTCAATTTGAAAACACCTTTGAGATGGATGCACCATCAGCACACCTATTACTGAACAAGCATTACGTGGCATGCTCAGCCTCACCAAAGTGCTCTGTCACCATCCATAATGCTACAACTTCAACTGAAGATGGCTGAGCAAAGATGAAGGAAGCTGCTGACCAAATTGCTGAACAATTCCAAACACTGCAACCAAAGAACTGGTTCGATGAATCAAGCCTTGGACATCAGATTTCTTCCATTTTTAAATCATGGGGTGGGGAAAGTGTTTTACACAAATGGGGACTGTAATATTGGTGGGATTTCTGGTTTTAATGATGAGCACAGACTTTATTTGCAACTATAATTAGCTGCATACTGTCTTCTGTTTCCTCCCTCTTCTAGCCAACTGTCCAATACACAGAGATCACCACAGCCAAAGATGAACCATACACCCAACCAATAGTAAGGAATGTTTGAGCCTCTGGGTGGTGTGGTGGACCTAGCATAAGCATGTTTTGTCTCAAAGATTCTGACTGTTCTGGTAGGAAAGCTGTGATTGGAAGAGTGGGTCTCACTGAGGTGGGGCAGCACAGTGCTTAGCCAACTCCCTTCTCCACCTGGAGACTTGTACTCACTTCCCCACTCTGCACTCACTCCCTGAAGGAGGGATCCAAGGGCTGGCTATGCATCCAAGAACAAAACAGCACCGAAAATCTTATTCACAAAAGAGGCTGCACCAGGTTAACTATGAAAGGAAGCAGATTGGGCTCCCCTGCTCTCTTTTTCTTCTCTTTCACTGTGTCACAATTCCACTTCTGGGCCACCCACATTATGAGACCAAGGAAGGATCAAAGGACTGGTGATATTCCTTGTTCTCTTCCTTTTCTGCTTTTATTTCTCTATCCCTCACTCTGTGAGGCTATCATTTATGTTTGTTATCATTTATATCATGTATATAATTCTCTATTCCATAATCGATACTGAAGTGTATTTGTGGGAGTGATGAGTTGTGGAAATGTTGTGGTTTGTGAGCCAGCACCTTTGAGTAGTGTGTTGATGGAGTAGAGAGTTTATTCAAGTGTATTGTAAAAATTACAGGCTTGCTACCCAGCTCTTGTGGAAGTCTTCAAATGTAATGGCTGGTGAACCAACACCTTTTAAGTATAAACGGTGGAGTGGTTGTTGGACACAAGGTGATCACACAAAAAAGCACAAGAGCTCCCTAAAGCATGTCCAGTCTCTTTGCTGAATCCTGATGAGAATTTATAATGAATATCATGGCCCCTACTGATGGTTCATGACATGTTCAAGCAGAAATTCCTTCAGCTAGTCTTTTGGTAGTGGTTAACCATCTGCAGAGAAGGTAAGTTTGAGCAGTAGAGAAATGGAAAGGGAAAAAGAATTCAGGACAAGGAAAAGCTGAACAGTGAATAGGAGGTTTAAGTCAAGTACAGGGTCATGTAAAAAAAGTAGTAAATCTAAAAATAAGAAGAGGTGAGCAGGAAAGGTAGAGCTTTTACACACATAGAGCTTTTTTTTTAGTTATTGCAAAAGAATCACCTGATCACAAGAAATCAGTTTGACCAGTAGAAACATACAAACACCACTACACAGCATCAAACTGGTAAAAGACCAGCTCTTAAGAGTTTCATTACAGTTCTTTAAAAGGTCCATTCTGACCTCTCAAACTGGAGTATGTCCCCAAGCAGAAGAGGAAATAATAACTAAGTCAAATTAAGAGGAATATTCTGGAACTGCAGCTGTTCTACCAAAATAAATATACATTTACATATAAACATTATACTTTAAAATGCATATGTTGTATGACCCTCAGACCTCACACACAAAAATTGTTTAAGTTATTTTTTTACACAAGTTCTGAAGTTACCCTAAGCACTGTAACAGGAACATGCTTATGTAATTTCATCCACAAGGGAAATATTAATCCAAAACAATTAAAAAGTTTGAGTCAAAAGAGCACTTGTAGGAAACACTTACTTTTAGCATCAGAAGCACTTCTGCAAGCTGCTGTATAAACACAGCCATTCATCGCACTTGAGAGAAACCCACACAGTCCTCTTGCACTAGAGTATATGGTTAACACAAAACATTTGGCACAGAAGACGTCTTGCTGCTCACAAGACAACAGTAGGTCAACAATACTACCATGAGGAATGCAAATACAGTTTTAGGATGCTGCAGGACAGATTACAACAACCACACCTGCCAAGGGTAATTGCTTAAACTATAACAAACTTAATTCAAGTAACACCATTCAGGAAGGCTAAACTTCAACTACAACAGGTGCAAAACAGAGAGGAAGTTAAGACTGTCTCATTTACAATAACAAAACAAGGACTAAGAATAGACCTAATGACTGCTCTAAAAGCACAAAAGTAAAAGTGCCAGAGAAAACAAAAGCTTACATTTAAAAAGGAAAAGGATAATATGCCACTGTATCTATAATAGCTAGAAAAAAGCCCTGGCACTGTCTCAAACAGAAGAACAGAAAAAATACAAAATCCAAATAAATCCTAGTTTAATGCAGCTGCTTTTAGCAGACTTTATCTTGTGACTTCCAGTCTGGAAATAAGTATCTGAAATAAGTACTGAAATAAAAGAGGGAGAAGCATATTAAAAGAATCCACTAGCTCTACCTGCTAATAAATGTATTTTTATTTTACTTTGATGATGCAAGCTCCAGCATTGATTTTCATTGTGATTCCTTCATCTGTTTTTCTTTGCAAAGATATTACAGCTTTTCATGCCACTCATATCAGAGGACAAATGGAAATGTCCACTACGCATTAAGAGTTCTTTCATCACTTGCTGTAATTTATAGATATACTAAACAATATTGGTTCTTTAGTGACTTCAAACTAAGTTATGCAGTAAAGTTACTTCAAGCTTTTTATTCCGCTGGGAACAAACAGCTCTGTGATTGAGATATTTGGAAACCAAACAAATAAATGCTGCCAACAAGCAGTATCATCTGTTGAATCAGTATCTGATGATCTGTTGAAGCAGTATCATCAAGTGAAATGGGTTGAAGTGGTAGCCAAGCAAAGGAAGTTGCATGTGTAATAAAAACACTTTTACCAAAAGCAACCAGACAAAAAAGTTCTCTTTCTCTACATGATCAAATAATTAGTACTTAAAAAAAACCCACTATCTTGCAATATATTTCTAAACGTGCTTTGTAGCAGACAGCCTTTAACTAGAAGAAATCTCTGACTATTTTCAACTTTCACCAGACATACAGAATAAGTTCAAGATACGTTAAAACAAAATGAGTCTAAATCTGATTTAACACACAATAACCCTCTTTTTGGGTTATTGTTTGGGTATTGGGTACAGTCCCTCTAATTGGAACTGTATCCCATGTTGCCCTCTCAAGCCATAATCTGCATGTTTTAAAAACTTTTACTACTCCCAAAATAAGTATTTTTCAAAGCAAGGAGAGTGATACCAGTATTTTTCAGGAGTTTATTATATTTGTAATGCTTTTCAGATTTCTTATCTAAAGCCATGCATTTTTGTTACCACAGTTTACCTTTCACTTTATGAAACAATACTATGCTATCTAAAAAGTTTTTGCTACTGCGGCAACAAGAAATTAACTGGAGTCCTAAAAGTTCTTCAATGATAAAAAGTAACCAAGTGAATTTCACCATGAAGGACTTAACTTATGAAAACAGTAATTTACCAAGAAGTTAAAAAAATCCAGAGGCAAATTATGGTGTTACCAAAGTAGCTGTGATGACTGAGAAAAAGCCAAACAATGATGTATTAACACAATATCCAAAAGTATCATGTTTGCAAGAGAAGTAAGGATATTACACAGCACTGTAAATAAAACATGTCTACCAAAGTGATGTGTCAACACCGGCAGTTAGAGACAAAAACTATTTGGGGGCAGGAGTTTGGACATTGAAACACATGCAGTCTCAAGAATTTCTAGAGTTTCCCTCTAGTCACCTGATACCAAGATTCACAGTAAATTTGTTGTTCCTCTACTTGTTGGACAACAAAGGAATCTACTAAAGATGACTGCTGCAGAGCACATCATTAATGCAGCATTAAACCATCACTGACTTTGGAAACATAGACTTAGCCTTGAAAACAGTGACAACAACTAAAAATTAGTTTTACTCAATATGGCCAAACTATACAATTATATCTATCACTAATTGCTTTTATCTAATTCAATGAAATCATACAAAAATATTAAAGGTTTCAATTAAAGAAATCAAACCATTAACTTCTGAAAGGAAAACTCCAATTAAGTTTCTCATCCCAAATCCTTTAAAAAAATATTAACTTACCAGCTTAATTGCCACATAGTCATTTGTGTATAAATTTTTTCCTTGAAAAAAGAATAAAAAAAGAATGTGAGACAATGGCTTTTCTGTTCAAGTAAATGCCATTTAAACATCAAGAAAGTCTTCAAAACATTTTTTATCTAAAGTGCTAGGTGTTCTGGCAGTGACTTAGGAAATGTGGGTTTATTAGTCCAGTACTTTATTCTAAAAAAAATTTTTCCTTGAACGGTGTAAGAGGTGGAAATTTCACAGAGAGTTTCAGATATATCAGCAAGTTCGTGATATTTTTATGTACTAAAAAAGTTTGAAAATTGGTAAATCACAATAACTAGAATGTGATATTCTACATTTTCATAATTATTGGTGAAAACTAATTGAAATTTATTTTTAAATTACCATACAATTTTGAAACATCAGCCACTAATTAAAACTAGAATTAACTAGTTAATTAATTAAATGAGGACTATTTTTTTCCTCAGCTATGAAATTTATCAACTTAAAAGTTAGGACAAGACAGTAACATTCCTGATAGGCTTATACCACTTGGAAATGCATCTGCTGCTTTAAAAGGGATTCTGTAACTGGGTAAGAACTTTTTCAATAAGCATCACATAGGACTGAATGCAATGACTAAAATGTTAAACAAGTTTTAGAGGTGAAAAATTAAAAAATAGCAAATAAAGGATAAATTGTCATTTCCAATACTTTTTGCTTCCTTACAATCTTCAAATGCATTTAGTGTATATTATTCTTAATGATAATCCTCCTTATTTCTCTGTAGTATTACTCGGGTCTGAATTTCCTATGTTTAGCTCAGTTTTGTTAAAGAAATCAAATGGGGAAAAGGCATTGACCAAATCTAGAAAGTTCCCTGTGAAGACAGTTGCACAGAATCATAGAACATTCTGATTTGGAAGGGACCCACAAAGATCACTGAGTCCAACTGTTAAGTGAATGTCCCACAGAGGAACTGAACCCACGATGATGCTTTGACCGAGTGAGTTACACCAAAAGTCAAAGACTGAAGTGCTAATGATTCTTCCAAAAAATAGAGTACTCTTGTAAAGCCGAAACAAGATTAAGAGTTTGCATCTCTTAGTGGACCAACTCCACAAAAAAAATCAAATTACCTGAGGACTTCACAACAACAAACACATAATGAATATGAGCAGCATGCCATAATCTGACCCACAAAAAGAAGTGTACTCTAAGACCAATGTAGGGACTAGAGTGGATACCCAGGAATCCTAAGTATTTCTTATCTAATGATGATGTGAGTTACATTTTTGATAAAAACTGTACTTTGTTTAAAGTTGTTTCTGTGTCTTTGCAAGTCATTACAATCTATAAGACACTAGCAGAAACTCTTGCAGGAGCCCTGCTCATTCCAACTCTTAGATATATACATCACCTACTCTGAGTAACAAATCCAGTTACAGTGAAGTAACTGGATACTGAGTTCCAAAAGCTGTAATGACATGCTTATTCTGAAGTAGCATCAGAAGGAGGTGGCCTAATTTTCCAGGTGGCCAGTCAAGACAACTGTCTCTTTAAAATACAACAGATACACATATATGACAGCACTGTTGATCTGTCCATAAATACACAACAGGTATCGAGTGATGCATCACTTGCAACAGCAACAAATTCTCTCTCACTACCTAATCTGTTCATCTAAACTATATCAGTTTAATTTAACTATTACAAAGAACCTTAAAATTAACACCTCGATATCCAAACCAGTTTAGTCCTTTGCCAGCTAATGATTGAACATCACAGATAGTAATTTTCTACAGATGGCAAATTTCCCATTTGATCCACAAACTGAAGTCTGACCACCACTTTCTTCTCAGGTCAAAGTACAGCTCCTGATACATAACTGAATTTTTATCTTCTGGGCACAACTTCATCACTCTATAACTTTATTCCCCCGTTAAGTCCCTCAGGTCTAACCTTAGGACACATGCTGGAAACATATTCCCATCTGCAGAAGTGCACATAAAAAACGAAGTGCTTGTGTACATCTTCATAGAAAGAGTGCACTCTAAGAATTTGATACTGTAGCAAAGCAAATAAAAAAATCAGAATCTATAGTAGCAATATTAACTCTTGTTGTCAGTAATTTACATTTAAAACATCTTACCTCATAAAAAAACAATAAATAGGGATTTGAAATATGTAGAATATAAGCAAAACCCACAGATATTAAAATGAGAATGGCTGCACTTGTCCTGGTGACTGCTGCAGGACAATACACGCCCCCATAATCTTCCTCCTATTTCTTTTACTTACTTGTTCTATTTTATTTCAGTACTGTGAAACTGTAAGTCTTAAGTAATTTAATATTGTATTTTAAATAAAATACATTGTTTCACTGTAACAGCTGCAAGTAAATGAGATAATCAGATATTGATTTTTAATCAGTTCTGTACTTCTTGATCAGAATAACAGAGAAAAAATTAACTTTACTAGTTTGCAGCTGCCTTTATGTAAAATTAATTTTGCTGGTTTGATTTAGTTCATTGAAAGGTTTGAAACAAAAATTCAGAATTGAAGGCAGCGTGCAAAAATCTGGGTAGTGAGGAAGAACAATATTTCAGCTTGATTTGTGGACTGCAAAGGTATGTATGCAACATTGTAAATGTCAAAATGTATTAATTTTGTTTAACTATTAATAGAAATAACAAGAGTACCTATTACACTGCCAAATTAAGTGTCCTAAGTCAGAGCTGCAGCAATGTTGTCTTTAATATTTTCTTTAACTCCCTCTACAGTATTAATTTGCTAAGCTTGTTTACATCCTGACAGCCCTCAGAATTCACTATATTAAAACATACTATATTGTACGCAAGCACTATATCACAAATATTGTCTAAAGGGCAATGAGTATTAGTTCTACCATGGCAAAGATCAACACAAACAACACCTATATAGCCCACCATCCTCTCAAATATCTAACTTTAACTTTTAACTAATTAACTCTACTTAATGCACAAAGCACTTCACATCAAGCCTTCTAACAATACAAGACTGAATTCTTGCCATTAAGTGTCAAATTGTATTTATTAACACATACCTGAACTTACACATCTTGAAAATCCTGGCTAATCATGTCACTCCTGGAAATACAAGTCCCCAAAATTAAACAAATAGTCCTCCAAAAACACACACCCATCAGTGTCTATTTTAATACATGCTAACATTTCCAGCTTTGCTGCCCAAGTTCTTCAAAACTCCACAGGTCCTTCTCAGTCTGTGCCTTCTCCACCATCTGATTTTCAGCCATCTGTTCAGCAGAGAACTACAGCAACTGAATTATCCCAAATTTTCTCTACAGATGGTTTCTCACTGCCCTGTTTAACAGCAACTCAATGTTTAGCCTCACTACATTAGAAAAGAAACCAAGGAACTTCCCTGCTCCCTGTTATTAAAAATGCTGTAGTACCTGGTTACTAGATCTACAGATCTCTACAGCTCTGCCAGACTTACAGGACAGGGATGTGCGTCATACATTTAGCCCTAAATATACCTCAATAAAGTGCCTCAGGAAGTCAGAAAAGACTGCTACAATAACCATGATGTAACTTCCAGCATCTTGGAAGAGAAAACTGACAGAATTTAGGAGAGTACTGCACACAGTTCGAAAACATTTTAGTCCCAGCAAGCATTCTGCTATACAGATTCTGCATGGCATCAAGCTTGCACTGGCTAGGGTAAAGCCACGAAAGATGAACCCAATATGCCTTGCACATCTGAAGTTTAAGCAGTTTGAAGAGCTGCACAGTATTTATAATTTTTCTTGCCTAGACTGCATAAAAATGGCCTTGAATAATGTAAACTGAAATAAAGAAATTAGCATCTTACCTAATCGTAGTTCTCCAAAATTACCACATCCAATTTTTTTACCAACTCTGAAATTAGGGCCAACCATTAACACTCCAGAATTTGATGAACCAGTTCCACGTGGATTATGGCCTGATCTCCCACTGGGCCGTGTCATTCTTTCATCTGGTTTGTCTTTGTCTTTTTTTTTATTTTCCATGTCAAGTTTACGGTACTCCACTTTGATTTATTCCTCTTTTTAAAAATCAGTATAAGCAAATTCCAATTGGACAACGTGAGAATGAAAACATCATGAGTGAAGTGGCCAGACGGTTACTGTCAGTAAGCAGACAACAGCAGCATGTTCCTCCTGCTTTGCAAAGCCCTGGTGGTATCTGTAGTTAAGGTATTTCCAGAATGCACAACACCAGCAAAATTTCCTATTCTTTAGAGGAATTCTGTTAAAAGAAAAAAAAAGTTATTCAAGACACTAAGATTCTTCTCATAAAATTACCTTTCCCTTCAACTAGTCACACAATTAAGATATAACTAATTACATTTGCTTTAGAGATCTATGAAAAGCACTACTTTCAGGTTAATTCTCTCTATTTCTAGTATGTAACAGCAAGAAATACTGGTGTGACTAAAGTATGCTAAAATTTCCACACTTCAAGAAATAGTTATTTTTTAGAAAAGCAACAAAAAAGCCCTATAAAACTTCTTCCTGAATAAACACACTTAAAACTGACACTTGGACACACTCACTTCACTTTATGCCAGCTCCTCAAAAGAAAGCATTTTATTTATTTTCCCTCAAACAGTATCTGTTGTTTTAACCAAATGCTCAAGCTAAACAGTTACTGAAGTTATAGAAATATATTGTATTTTCTGAATTGTAATTTCTGAGATGCACGAATTATAAACTCATGGCAAGGACACTTGAATTCTTTCAGTAACTCTTAGAACTTAAAAATAAACTGTATTTACTTATTCTCCCCACTATACTTCTGTCATAAATCTGTTTCCCTCTTCCCCTTCTTCCTTGTCTAGCATCATTGCCTAGACACTAATTCCTACACTGGATTTCAGCAAAAACAATGTTATCTTACTACTGTAATAAAGAACCACAAGAAAGCTTTGATTTTAAATCTCAGCTGTAAGAACACCTGATATGGTTTTCTATTTGATGGCAGTGGCATAAAACCCCATAAATCAGAAGGTTCTACACTGGCAAAATTTCACAATGAGTTAAGTACCTGTCCAAAATTATTTTCCTACATTTGCTTCAATGTTGGGAATACACTGCAGTAATGGAGAACATCCTCTGGAAAAACATATTTCATGTGCTACAGCCTATTTTAAAAGTAGTCACCAGGAGTTTATTTTTAACACTTTGAGTTGAAGACAATTCCATTTTGTAAACCAATTTGTCACAAACTAAAACTATTACTCATATCACAGCTTACCACAAAATAACAAAAATCAAAGAGGTAGTAGTGAAAATATACCAAATAATATGAACAGTCACATGAATAGTTGTATCTGCTAAATCAAACATAGTTATAGCATGGCTATTACTTAATGACATTCAAAAATCACTGATCAACAGCTGACTTATTACCTGAACAATGAAATACATGGAAATTTGTTTGGCAAAGAAATATAACCACATTTCTGTGGAATGGGGAATGAAAGGTTTGTTCTGAGAGCAATCAAAAAACACAAATGCAGATTACAACCCAAGATGACTTGCTTAATGCCAGGGAAAAGGACTTTAGCAGTGAGTAAAGAAAGCTGTGGTGTTTTATAGTATAGACAGAAGCATTTAAGAGAAGACAGGCACATTACTACATAATCTTGCAGGTTTTCAAGCACCACCACCAGACACCCTAGAGTTACCTTCTAAATCACAGATCTCAAAGGAACTGATTCAATGGGAAACAACAGATAATCTTCCCTCACCCACTACGCTACAAAAGCTAGGGAAGAAATAGGAAAGCTAGACATTAAGTGAGTTGAAGCAGAACTTCAAAGTCACCATTCAGTTCTTAGAATGAAGGTCAGCACATCTGATGCAACAGAATGCGACTAAATATTTAGGTACCAAAGAAAGAAGACTTATGTTCCACATCTTACTGGCTTCTTCAGAAAGAAAACAATAAACAATTCTAGAATTTTTAGTGTTCCAAATACACTATGACCAACATCAGTTTTGCTTTCCAGAAATGTGCCTATTAATGGACAAATCTATTGCACAATAATTTATGTACTCCCCTTTCCTCCTGTTGAACGGACAGATACTCCAGTTACATTTTAGGTAAGCTTTCTTACATAAACTGAAATTTGTAACTTCTTATAAGATACCTGCTAAACAAACAACACAACAGAAAGTCTCACACTTTTTCCACACTGCATATCAAATGGGAGACATGCAATTATTCCTGCCAGTTTCTCCAGGACACAGGTGCTCTCTTGCATTTTCCTAATAAAATCATCTGCAATTAACTCAAAGTAAAGACAGTGCTTATGACTTTCTTCATTTTGAAGTTCCTGTACAATATTTTATGATATATTTACCTTAAATATGCAAAAGTTTTTCGTGGTTATATTTATTTGTATTGCACTTACCTATGACAGTGTTATAATGTTGATGGCAATATCTTTTCTTCACCATAATGCTCACATTCTAGAGAAAAAGTATCAAAAGGCAAAGACATATTTATGTATCATTTGCAATTACCTAGCATATAAAATTTCTGATACAGAACAAAAGTGCAGTGTTTGGAACTGCATTAGTTTTCTTAGACTGTTAAGGAAGATGCAGATTTGTCTCACAGACTCAACATAATTTTTAAGACTCAAAAATCAGACATCATTCAAAGGTGTGCATCATCAGAAGTGTAAAAGGAATACATACAGTGTAAGCATTCTAAATTATTTGGGAAATCATTTTCTTGCTATATGACAATTACGGGCAATCTGTCTGAAAAGAAAGCCATCCTCATTTCACAGCTTGTTTTTCTGTTTAATTTTCATTTTTTCATTTCTGCCTACATAAACAAGCACACAAACAATAAACTGCAGCCCAACATCAGGGGCTATTGTTAGGATTTAAATAATTGTTAAAAATAATGTATTACTAAATATCAGGATAATGGCAAACATACCATTAAAGACAAGTTGACAAAGCAGTCTCACAGCAGTGAAATGACTATGTTCAAGTATGAAGAAGACAAAAGAAGCTACCAAAAAAAAAGTCAAAATGGTATTACATAGAAGAAAAAGTAATTAGATCTCAATTATAAACTAAATCCATAATCTATATAGACTGAAGATAAAAATTAAAACAAGATTGGAAGAAAGCAAGTAACTTCAAAGTAATTGACATGCCCAACTAATAGCTACCAGAGATTTGATTTTTTTGGTGTAATCTGATAGGATTTCTCCAAGCGCTGTAGAGAGACTGCATGAAAAGTAAGGAGAGGCACAGTGAAGACAACTAAGAAAAATGACAACAGGGTTTCAGTTGACTGGCAAGTCACACACCTAACACCTGCAGAAGTATCCCTAGATTACAGGTATAAATATACACAGCTCCCTAAATCTCTGCTTGAAAATGTCCCAATTAACTCTACTGAAGACTATATGCTACATAAGAACCCTACTAAGTAAAACAACAACTCTCTAGGATACTACATAAGGCAGAATAAAAGAACAACACATTTAAGCATCTTCTTTATTCATACATTTCTCAAATGCCTGATCCTGCAGCAGCAGCAGGAACACCATTGTAGTTATATGCGAACTTACATGTTCCAAAGTGTTGTCATGACAATGTTCATACTCAAGTGTGCAAGTCACCTCTAAAAAAAAAACAACTTACTATCTACCTCACTCCTTTTTCATGTTCCAGATTTACTCCTAAATAAACTAATTAAGAGAACATTAAAGTAGCTAAATAGAACATTCCTCTGCCCAGGAATGACAAACTTAAATGAAACATGTAGCCATAACTGCTCCCTTAGGTAACATAAAGCATTACCCTTCACATTGTAATTACAAGATCATACATTACTGCTAGCATCAGTATACTAACACTTTATTTGTAAGAAAAGCATACAGTAGTAAAAGAGCTACAGAGGAAAATAAAAAATTTATACCACTTTAAACTAGACTGGAGGAAGGTAAAGGATATAAACCAGTTGACAGTGATAAGAAATTGGGATGGTATGCCAAAACTCAAGGAACTGAGTGCTAGTGAGATCCTTAAACTGGTCCATGAGGCATCAGCTACAACAGATGACACCCAGAATGTTTCTACACCAACACACACAGCATGAGAATCATCACTGGAATAAATGAAACCTGTTAGGATAAGCCCCTTGAACAGAGTGCCATGTTGGATGGTAACAAGCTCTCCAGGAGGGACAGGCAGGGCAGGAGAGCTGGAAGGGCGGAAATGTAGCCTGAAATCAGCAATGGCAGCCTGACAGTCTCTGAGTAAGGATTAAGGGACAAAAAAATAACGTGGATGTCATTGTAGGAGTCTACTATAGGCCACCTAGCCAGGACAATGATTCCAGAGAATTACTCTTTGAGGAACTAAGGGAGATCTTCAAAACAACTGTCCTTGTCCTTACAGGAACATCAACTTGTCAGATCTTAACTGGGAGCATCATACAACTGGCACAAACAGGTCCAGAACAGCCCTAAATCTGGATAGCCTTTCGTCCTTGTTTAGGGCAAATTTGGGAGAGAACCTCCAAATGGGGTCACCCCAGAAAAGCAAATCCAAGCAGCCCCTCCCTCCAACTGGTTCAGGAAAAAGTGATTTCCCTGGAGAGAAGTGACAAAAACTGTTTATTTAACAGAAATTGAATAATATTAAACAATAAAATCTTTAGCTGTTCAATGAAATGGCAAATCCAGGAAAAAGTCCTTTGCATGTGGTGTGGGTCGGTCCGCTTAGGTTCTTATCAGTCCCTCTGGCACAAAAGTGCCGAGGCCCAGACCCCAGTGGGCCACAGGCGTGAGCTCATGAGGTATGTCTGGGCTTTTTTCAGTCCAGAGCAGGTTAGAACAGATCTAAGAAAAAAAAAAGAAAAAAAGGTCCAGGGAACTCCTCTGCCTCAGCTAGCTAAAACTAACTAAAAGCCAAAGAGAAGCTCTCTCCCACTGTCTGTCCGTGCTGCAGACACCACAGTCCAGGAGCAGCATGCAGGGAAGTGATGTTTTTCCTCAACACAAACTGCGTGCTTCTTCTTCACCCCCTTCGCTCTCAGACCCAGTGTAAAAGGTGCAAAATTTAATATATAACATAAACCAGGTGACTGGGGATACCAGTATCATAAAGTCACCCCAAGACAACTTATGATAAAGCTACTAATGGAGCCAGCTATGAAAGGTGCCCTCCTTGATGTGTTGCATATTAACAGGGAGGATCATGTAAACAAAGCGGTGACTGATGGTCACCTTGGCCACAGTGACCACACAGCAATTGAGTTTAAAAACTTGGTTATCAGGAGGAAAACTGACAGCAAAATTTCAGTCCCAGGCATGACAAGAGCTGATTTCAAGCTGTTAAAGGACCAGTAATGTGCCCTGAGAAAATGCATTTGAGGGTGCTGGGGTCCATCAGGTCTGGTCATTTTTTTAAGCACCATCTCCCAGGGGCACAGGAACAGGCAGTTCCAAAATCTTAGCAGTCAAGCAGAGGAGGCAGAATGCCAGCTTGGCTGAGCAGGAATCTTCTCTGGGAAACAAGGTAAAAAAGTGAGGCGTATGCCCACTGGAAGCAAGGTCTGGTGAATGGAAGAACTACAGAGATGCCACAATCAGTGAATGGACCCGAGGGAATGGCCTGAAGTTGTGTCAGCAGAGGTTTAGGTTGGATATTAGGAAAAGTTTTTCATCCAGAGGGTGTTTGGGCACTGGAACAGGCTCTCCAGGGAAGTGGTCACAGCACCAGCCTGACAGAGCACAAGAAGTGTTTGAGCAATGCTCTTGGGCACATGGTGTGACTTTTGGGGTGTCCTGTGCAGGGCCAGGAGTTGAACTTCAATGATTCTTCTGGGCCCCTTTCAACACAGAATATTTTATTATTTTGTGAAAGATGGTAAAGAAATAGTTCTGGTTTCAGCACAAGGCATTTAAAATTCACTCAGCCTTCTGGCATTTTCATACCTCTGCAGTTTCTCACCCCTGAAGTGTCTGTTCACATACTTCTAATCCCAAGGGCTCATGATTCCTGGCAATTATAGTAATTTAGCAGCAGAGCTTCTCCCCACATCTTCTAGAAGAGTGCAGAGAAAGTTTCTAGTGCCTCTCCCACAGACTTCCAAGAGACATGTAGTTTTTATGGGATACTTCATCTACTAGTCCTCAACTGAGATGGAGAACAGTTACATTCACTTTACTTTCCAATAATCATTTCAATGTTACAAATACATTTATACTGCACAAAAATTAATACAAGATTCCATCCAACAAAAGTCTTGTAGAGATACTGAAGAGCAGAAAATCTGGAATTCATCCTACAAATCTCAAGCAAGAACTTTATTGTGAGATCGTAATACAAAATTTAACATCTAATCAACTATTTCTGCTATTTTTACATGCCTCAGGGAATTAAGCTGTTCTTTCTAGATTAGTTATTACTGCATCATTTTCATTCATTTTTATATACATGTCTCATTGAAACAGACGAAATCTATGAAATTCCAATTCCACAGCAAACAGGCTCATAATTGAAGATCCCTTGAAAGATTAGGACAGCAGTTCCTGACTGTGAAAAAGTTTTCAGACAGAATTTGAATTGGAAAAGATCTCTAAAATTATATGTGATTTAGTTGGATCCATTGTTTATTTAAAAGAAAAATAAACATTTAATATGACTCAAGAGTGGATTTCATTATTTTCACTTTAGTCCAATAAGAGAAATCAGGCTTTCACAAGACTTTCATGTGACCCAAAGAAGTTGAGCTGCTATTCCAATTATTTGTATTACAAATAAATGTCTATAGCTTTATTTTTTGTATAACGTTTTCCTAAGCAAACTCTAAAATAAAATGATTCATTGCATAACTCAGTTAAATGTAACAAAATTATTACTTCATCATTTTTCAGATTTCTGAAGCAGAAAAAATATGCAAAATCATTAGCACTTTAGTCAAAACTAAAGACAAAATGAGTGTGCTGAAATATTCAATATATAAAACTTCCAGACGGTACATGCTCCTGATACCATCTTTGAAAAACAAAGAACGTTTCCAAACGAATATCTCCTGACACAATTTCTCTCTGCAGCTATCAATAACCTGTATCAAAATTGCTCATTACTGAACCATTTTACAAGTCTTAGATTGTGTTCTTTATATGTGACCTGAATGTAATGAAAACTTCCTCATCAATAACTCATTTTGCTCTCAACAATATAATCCACTTCATACACTTGGGGAATTCTAAGACCAATGGCATTTGATTTTATAGCTTTTTTCAAAATTTCAACATAAAAACAAAATACAGCTTGGCATTATCTGCTCTTCATCTTTTCAGAAGTCAGCTAATTCATCAAAGACTATTTTATTCTCCCATTCCTTAGTTATTTCAGTTAGGTAAACAATTACCTTGGAACCACTGTAAAAAGAATATGCAAATCCTCTGAAACAACATCTTTTTCCCTAAAAAAATACCAATATTTTGTAGCAGATGTGAACTAATCCAAGAAATAAGGATAGTCTTTTTCAGCTTCACATGGGAGGACTGCTGTCTCCACAATCATAAAATAAGCATACAGGATATACGAGAAGCGACAGTGCACCTAAATAACATCTTCAGCAGGATGAACATTCAAGCCATCAAAAACCACAACCACATCCCTTCCCTGCCAGTTTGCCTTTCAAAATACTGAATTACAGATCCCACATTTGCTATATTTCTTGCTCAGAGAAAAAGAATACATAATATACTAGTAAGTTTGAAATCCTTTCTAGAGTTTCATCAGCAAAGAGGGAAAACAAAGCAACTGCTACTTCTTGATGTTTATTAAGAAGGCAAATATAATAACCTAATTTCAAAGGCAAATGAAATCTCTTTATAATAGACTATGCAGGAGCTCAACTGTGCAGTTTATTTCTCAGTGTGCATGGCCTCAAAACACTTTTATTTTGATTCATGCTCTTCAGCACTCCAAAGCAACTAACACAAGTTACACACATCACAAGTGTACACAAATTTTGCTTGC